ATATAATGTTCTAATTTAATGACTTGTAACTGTCGATAAAATAATTGCGAAATGCGTTGCTCTGAAAAGAGAGTTTATTTTTATAAACAATATGTTTTAACAATCAAATACAATGGTAAGGTATTTACAATCAATAACAATCCTCACCTGAAAAGAGAAACAACATTTAAGCTATAATTTCACTTATTACTTTATATTCACCGGTATTTTATTTTACACATAACCTAGTAATGTCATCCAACGAGGCATAGCTAATAAACTTCAAACATCACACACCGATGACGCGCCAAATTCGAATCAAGTTAAGCGCGGCAAATTCAAACTGAATGAAGGGTGATAAACTTCATTTACATATATCATACTATTAAAGGTCTTAAGTTAACTTTGAGACTAGAGGAATAGGTACTTTTCAATACATATAAATAAAATTGTATTATAATGTATGATTTTGTATATAAGTGTGGGAGAGCCATGCTTCGGCATGAATGGGCCGGCTCGACCGGAGTGATACCACGGCCGCACAGAAAATCGACGTGAAGGAACGCTTGCGTTGTGCTTCGTCGTGTGAGTGAGGTTACCGGAGGTCCAAATACCCTTACCTTCCCAAATCTCCCCAATTCCTGAATCCCCAACGATCCTCAAACTCCCAGTCCCCAAAAGGCCGATAACGCACCTGTAACGCCTCTGGAGTTTCAGGTGTCCGTGGGCGACGCCGATTGCTTACCATCAGGTGATCCGTCTGCTCGTTTACCGGCTTATGCCACAAAAAAAATTTTGTTAATTAGATTCTGGAAACCGCACTCAAACGACAAAACACAAAGCACACGTTGTTTTACGTTGGTTTCACTCCGGTCGAGCCGGCCCATAAGCCCCAGATGCTTAACTATTCCACACTTTAAATTGGACTAAGTATTCAAATAAAATGTACATTGTACCTAGTATAGCCATTTCCATAACTATACCTGTTCGAATCTAAACTAAAAATCATATTTTACTTACAAAGAAATAAATTGTAACGAAACCTTTTACAGTAATAAAGCTTAGCCTTGGAAGATGTAAAAATGCGATACCATTTGCTAGAAACCCTGACAGTATCAGATTTGTGTGTTCATACTAACATTTTATTTTATTTAAATAAGGTAAGTGCATGTTCATGTATAGTAGGCAGCTCGTCAACCTACTCTTTTCTACCACATTCCTTTACTAGACTTTCAATTTAATCGTTTAGAGTCGAAAATCCAATGGCAAAACTTGACACATTGAAGTAGGTTGTTTTGCTGGCTATAACTGTATATTACTCCATATTTTTCTAAATTAATTTTACTTGCCAATTTAATAACTGTCTAACTAAGGAACAATAAACAGTCTGGGTTGTGAAAATTTCCATCTACCGAGAAAAAATAAAAAGGATTTCAAATCTGTAGAGTTGTTAGATTTTCTACAAGTTGGCGATCTTGAATCATTAAACTGAAATTAATGAGAATGCGAGAGAAGATATTCTAGTTTGTAATTCACCTTAAATTCTCAATGACCCGAACATAATTGGATTTATTCTGTCTAAGGTTATTCAGAGTACAGTAAGTGAGTTCAGTAGAATTGATGAAAATGTACAATCAAGTAATGATATAAGTTTTGATGAGAAATATTTGGAAGGAGATTAGCTTAAAAATATTAAAATTACTTTCGTAACTACAAAGTCTACTTAAAATTTTGCAATCAATATTGAAGATAAAACAAGTTAAATAAAATACTGTAGATAATGTTTTTGGAGTTTGTATTTTATTTTAATGGTTTTACAAGGTTCAATATTAATTGCAGAATTGATTGAATATCTACAAAAATGAAAGAAAGTGAAATTACATTTACCGAACACGCAGATGGTGCTGAATGAGCTCCACATGTGCCTCCAGCCGCTGCAGCTGCTAACGCACTGCTTCCTGGCACCTGCCAAGCGATAAACAATTGTAACGACTACGTTTCAGATTTCAAAATAAGATTGATGCCTAAAATCCCTAGAGATGAGATACAATTTTGCTTAAAAGGTATGACATTTATACGATTTTATAAAGCCCTTAAAATTCAGAGTCTTTAAATGGAAAAATCTTCAGGCAAGCAAAAAATTTTGAACGGTAATTATAATCAAATTATGATTAATGCTGGCAATAATATTTGTGACGACTAAGCTGAAAATAATTTTATTGTAATTATAGGATCACGAAACAGAAGATTTGTACTGCAAGCTAAGCTGGACGGAAACTAGAAGTACCTATCTACATTATCAATACCTACATAGTGAAATTTATCAACAAGGTTCAAAAATGTTATGCAGAAGCGAATATAAAAAGGTATGCTAACATCGGAGACAAAAATTGGGTAGACCGAAGAATTCATGGCATGACTTTATTATGAGAGCTAAGGTATGGGATACTAGAAATACTGGGAAAATTAATAGATTAGCAATTGTTTGGGCCATGAACAAGAACAAACCATATCGAAATCCTATAGCGACGTCGGTATATGAGACGTACACTGATCCACCTGTTGAAATCATATTGATTGGTACGATTCTTAAAGAAAATAACGAAATTTGTAAAATTACTATTATGAGACATTCTGTATTAATTGAAAATAACGCTGCTCATAAGGAAGAGTCCCGTCGTGACTTGTAAATAGTAGAACTTCTCTCAATTATTTACGTGAGCAAATCGTTATTTTCAATTAAAATAATAAATTTCTTAACAAATTAAATTCAGTCGTAAAATTAATCCTCTTACTATTACTAATTGCAATTAAAATTATTTTAAACACAAAAGAAATAAAATTAATCAAGTTAATCATTTTAAGTAATTTAATTGTTAGCTCCCACCGTGCATAGTGAATGGAATACAAATTAACTTACTAAAATAATTCATTAGAAACTTTAGCTTTGTTAGTGATTTTTTCTAAAGTTATTTCTAGCAAATTGTTAGCATTAACTTTATAATGAACAGCGTTTACATTGAAGTTTTGATCTAATTAATCATTTGCAGTTTTTTCTTTTAACTTTGCTTTCGGAACGTCTTCATTAGTGCCATTAGCTATCTACTCCTGCACGGTTTCTATTGATCATAGCGTGATGATGACAGAATGACCTATAGCTGTCCTTGATTAATGAACTATCGAACACAAAAAAAGTATACATTTCAAACCAGTAGTTCTGGCAATTTGCGCGTTTAAACAAAGAACCAAACAAACAAAATCTTTACCTTTACATATTAAATATAGATATCAACATTTTCATAAGATTTACCTTCAATTGTTCCTGTTTGTAGTCAGGCTGATATGGCAGCAACATCCTGATCTTGCCCCATCTATTGAAGAACAGTGCGATCGCCCCAATCCATACGATTAGCACCAATACTACTATGCCAATCTCTACGCCTCGTATCTGTTTTAAAAATATCAGTTTTAAAAAAAAATATTTTTTTAAAAGACCTTGTGTATGTACATAGTTCACTTAATATTTTTATGTGAAAAGCCGAAACGAGCGAACGGATCACCTGATGGTAAGCTATCGACACCACCAATGGACACCTGGAACACCAGGGGCGTTACAAGTGCGTTACCGGCCTTTTGGGGATTAGTATTTCTTTTGGTAACGTATTATAAAGCCGTGCATCCTCAAAATGAACAGTTTTTCTTCTATACTGTATTCTATCTGAAGGTTAGAACCTTCAGGTGTATATGTATAAATACTATCAGTATAAATACTATCCCTATTCCTAGCATAAACCTTGTATGTTTTTCGCACTATGTTATAGACATACAGATACAACTGAACTGATCTACCCAATTATACTAATTGACAATGGATATCGATTCAATTATATCTCCTGTGAAATTCAATTAGCGATTAATTATATTACCGTTACAGTTAAATTTAAAGGTATTTGGCATAATGATCTAACAGCACTTAGTGATTTGCTTGATTTTAGACATTTCACAACACCTGAAGATGCCAATTACAAATTAATTGGGAGGTCTAAGTACATCTTCGGTTTTTTTATACAACTACCCCCCCTTCTTAGTCTCCTTAATTGCTGAATCCCCAACAATCTTCAAATTCCTAGTCTCCAAAAGACTAGTAATGTACTTTTAACGCCTCTAATGGTTCAAGTGTCCATAGGCAGCGTCGATTGCTTACCATCAGGTGATCCATCAGCTCGTTTACCGGCTTATCACATAAAAATATAAAACCAATAGTTTCTCAATCAGTCATGTTATAAATGTACAGACATCACAATAATTCAGTGTGTAGCTACAAATATAAGGATTTCTTTTATTCAAACACTGTGTTCTTTAGTCGTCTATGAAGCAAGGCCAACTTTACTTTATTGTTACAAAATATCATATTTTCTTTTACAATAGTCTTATCTCTTTTTTGCTGTTTTACTGAATATCATACAGGTCGAGTACATAAATTGTTTTTGTTGGTATAGAACGAAGTGCGTGAGGTTGCCATCTGGCGCATAATATGTAAAACTTTCATTAGAAAAAATGTCCACACAATTCTTGTACCGGCTTCACCGTTGATTCTTATTTCCATTATTTAAATATAGTAATATTCGTGCAATACGGCCTTTTTATTCATAACTCTTCAGGTTATGGGCCCAGTGAGTGAAAAACAATCAATTTTGTGATCAATAAACTTGATTTGCAGTGATTTAAATACGAACTGATACGTCATAATTAAAGTTATAAACGCGCCGATACCGTGTGTGGCGCGTTAGCGTAACGCGGACTTAGAAGTTACGTTTCCTTTGTTATGAACTAATCAGTGAATATTGACTAACGTGTTTTTTGTTTACGTTTTAAAGTTGAAGAAACTTTATTAACTGTGCAACATGACTGCAACTATTAAAATTGATCAACTTACTGGTGATAATTATGACACATGGAAGATACATATGCGAGCTATTCTGAAGAAGAATGATTTATGGGAATATGTATCGGGAACATTACCGAAACCACCGTTGGTAGCAGAGCGTGGTTACCGCTCGGCGACCCCAAGTATGCAGAATGGATTAAAATGGATGGCAAAGCGGAGTCCGATATTTTGTTGGCGGTCAGTTCAAGTGAATTAAGTGCGTTGGATGGTTTAGAAAGTTCAAAAGCTATATGGGATAAGTTGAGATCCATGTATCAGTCAAGCGGGCCGGCTAGAAAAGCATCTTTGTTGAAGAAACTTGTATTGACACGAATGCAAGAAGATGACGACTTGAAAAAGCACATTGCTGAATTTTTTGATGCTGTCAAGAAGCTCAAAGAAATTGGGTTGATAGTTATAGACGAACTCCTGGCCATATTATTGTTATATAGTTTACCAGATTCGTTTGCTATGTTTCGAACAGCAATAGAATTACGCGATGATTTACCCTCGTGTGAAATATTAAAAGTGAAGATCATCGAGGATTATGAAGGTCGTAAATCCAAAACAACGGTTGACCAGGGGGCAATGTTCGTCAAACGTATCAACAAAAATACAAATTTGAAGAAGATTAATGAGAATCATTTACGTAAAAATCACGTCGAGTGTTATCGTTGTGGTCGGCGTGGACATATAGCGAGAGAGTGCAAAGCCAAATTTCCCAGTAAACATAAGCAGAGTGCCCAACAATTGGACAGTGGTTGTGATGAGAGAAAGACGACCATGTTATTTAGTACCACTGAAGAGGTGATGCTTGGTGAGCAGACAAATCCTATCTGGTGCATTGACAGTGGATGCACGGGTCATATGTGTAATGAGAAGGTTATGATCAAGGATTTTACACAGTTGAACTCTGAGCTTAACTTGGCGAACAGTAAGAAAACGCAAATCAGCGGAACTGGTAAAGTAAACATTACAGTAGATACGGGCAGTGAAGAACGCCAAATTGAATTACAAAAGGTATTCGATTACGAAAAATGATGCGATTGTGATTGATGAAAATGAAAAGGTCCACCTACGTGCAGATCGTGTTGGTAATTTGTACCATGTACGGATGACTCAGAATACCGTGAGTATCGTTGAAAGTGTGAAAAACTCTATAGACACGTGGCACCAACGTCTTGGGCATCTCAATGAACGTGATCTGAAATCCATGGCCAAGAGTGGCCTTGTACATGGCTTGTCGTTAAATGACAATGATAAACTGTCTGAGTGTGAGATTTGTATCAGTGAAAAACTGTCATGCAAACCTTTTCCAAAGTCTAGTGAACGACGTACAAACGATTTACTAGAAATAGTACATAGCGACGTTTGTGGCCCAATGAATACGCAGTCATATGGTGGTAAAAAATATTTCGTCACATTCATTGATGACAAATCTAGATGGTCTGAAGTCTACTTTATGGCGAATAAAAATGAAGTTTTTAGTGCTTTCAAAATGTATAAAGCGTATGCAGAAAATTTAACTGGAAAGAAGATAAAGAATCTTCAGTCTGATAATGGACGAGAGTACGTGAACCATGAATTCGATGATTACCTAAAGAAAGAAGGGATCAGAAGAAGACTGACAGCCCCTTATACGCCCCAGCAAAATGGAATCGCCGAACGGAAAAACCGAACGCTGGTTGAAATGGCACGATGCATGATGCGTCAAGCAGGAAGTCCTCCTGGATTTTGGGCAGAAGCAATTAACACTGCTAATTACGTCAGAAATCGGTGCCCAACTACAGCATTAAATGGTCAGATACCATTTAGTATATGGAAAGGAAAGAAGCCAACTGTAATATACATGCATATATTTGGATCTAAAGCATACTATAAAGATAAAGGAAAACAGAAGGGGAAATTCGAATCAAGGTCACAGTTAGGAATATTTGTGGGTTATGATACTCAATCAAAAGCCTATAGGATACACGACCCAGTATCGAGGAAGATTGTGATAAGTCGTGATGTAAAATTTGTGAATGAGACAGCTTTCAGACATGAATATAAGGAAATACTTGATGAAGAAGAGAATACTAATAACGAGAACATTACAGTAGAATTAGATGAACTTGAAGAAACTAATAGAAAGATGAGTGACGATCGAAAAATATTGAGAATAAAGAGAAATGGAGACAGACACAGAAGGTCAATTGAAAGAGTACAAGAATCGGAAAGCGATAGAAATAAAAGTCAAAGAAAACGAAACTCAACTGTTTCGTGGGAAGCATTGATAGAACCTCCCAAAAGAGGAAGAGGAAGACCTCGCTTACTCCGGACTGGAATGGCGGGTAGACCGCGGAAAATGTATAACTCAGCACAAGAAGATGAAAATGAAACTGAAGAATCAGATAGTGAAATGAGCGCAGCGACAGTAATACTAGACCCGATGACGTGGACTGAAATAGAGAACAGCGACGATTTAAATGCATGGAAAATGGCTCTGGAAGATGAATATTTTGCACAGATTAAAAATAAAACGTGGGAAATCGTACCACGACCTAAACATCGGAAAATTATTGGAAGTCGATTTGTTTTTAAGACCAAGAGCACTGGTAAAAAGATACGTCTTGTCGCAAAAGGATGCTCACAACGACCAGGGGAGGATTTTCACGAAACTTCATCTCCTGTTGTAAGAGCTTCGTCAATAAGGCTCATTGCAGCTTTGTCTGCAGAGTTTGGTCTAGAAATACATCAAATGGATGTAGTAACAGCTTACTTAAACGGATCACTCGATGAAGAAGTCTATATGGAATTACCTGATAAACTAAGCGATGTAATGGAGAGAATACTCGCTAATGAGAAGATTGGATCGCAGAAGAAAATAATAACAGACAAGAATATACTACAGACAGTTAAACAATGGAGTAAAGCTATGGATGAGTGTGAGGACAGTGTGTGTTTGTTGAAAAAGTCTCTGTATGGTTTGCGACAATCTGGATTGCAGTGGTATAAGAAATTAGTGAGAAAGCTGATGGACTGCGGGTTTGAAGCGTTGCAGCAGGACCCATGCATGTTTATGGCGCAGAAGGGTGAGCGAACAATGATAATTGGTGTTTATGTAGATGATATAATACTGGCAACGGATGACGATGTATGGATGCGTGATATAAAGAAAAAATTATCAGATTCCTTTGAAATGAAAGATATGGGTAAGATAAGTAATTGTTTAGGTATTGAATTTAGTCGTGATGATGAAAACAGAGTTTATATGAGTCAAAAGTCGTATGTAAGTAAAATATTAGAGAGATTCAGTATGAGTGAGTGTAAGCCTGCAATTACACCTATAGATGTCAATGTTAAATTAAACAAGCCTGAGTGCGTAAAAAATGACATTATGGAACAATATCCATATCAAAGCTTGGTAGGTGCTTTAATGCATCTTGCTGTTCTAACTAGACCGGATATTGCGTATGCTATTAATTATTTAAGCCAATTTAACACTAAGTATGATATTGAACACTGGAAGGCTCTTAAACGTGTACTTAGGTATCTGAAGGGTACGTCAGATTACGGTTTAGTGTATGAAAGAACAGGTTTACCTTTGTTTGGAGTCGTTGATGCAGACTGGGGTGGAAATACGGTAGATCGTAGATCCTATTCTGGTTTTGCATTTATTTTAGCAGGTGCTCCTGTTAGCTGGGAGGCACGTAAACAACGCACTATTGCCTTGTCGAGCACGGAGGCCGAATATATGGCTCTGTCCGAGGCTACTAAAGAAGCTGTGTACTTACGAGATATTTTGTGTAATGTAGGGACTGATTGTGAATGTGTAATGTTATTTAACGATAACCAGGGTGCCATCAAACTTGCTCAAAGTAAGAACTACCATTCACGAACCAAACATATTGATGTGAGGCATCACTTTATTCGTAATATGTACGAACAAGGTGTAATTAATCTCAAATATTTACCTACTGATCGAATGCCTGCAGATGTTTTGACCAAGGGTTTGAATGGGACAAAGCATCATGAATGTCTACGTAATTTAGGTATGATGGATGAATGTATGTAAAGGCTGGAGATTAAATTTACTCACGACTTCGAGGGGAGGTGTTGGTATAGAACGAAGTGCGTGAGGTTGCCATCTGGCGCATAATATGTAAAACTTTCATTAGAAAAAATGTCCACACAATTCTTGTACCGGCTTCACCGTTGATTCTTATTTCCATTATTTAAATATAGTAATATTCGTGCAATACGGCCTTTTTATTCATAACTCTTCAGTTTTCAATGAGAATCACGACATCAAAACACCAACATAAACTAAATTTACCTAACTATTGGATGACATTTGAACGTAAGAAAACATATAACAATAAACATTTTAGAGCATTCTACATTTAGAGTGCTCTAAAGTTTAGTGCATTCTCGGTCATTACCTACATACATTTTGATATAATATAAAAATAAGTCGAGTTTTCCTTCCTGACGCTATAACTCCAGAACGCCCGAATCGATTTCTATGGTTTATATTCGTTGGAAAGGTGTCGGGCTCCGTGTGGTTTATAAAACATAAAATAAAAAAAAATGTTCTTCATCTTTTAATCACCAAACGAAATTACATAAAACGAAGCCATCTGGTGGCGGAGTTCGCCGGGGTTTGCTAGTTTGATATAATAATACATTGAATAATCACCTTATCTAAACACCCTAAAGCATAAGATATACTAGGGGACAAATATATTGCTTGACATTATTATGTATTGGCCACATGTCAACCAAAGCCAGCCAATTTCGCCTGATACACATGGCGACTTATGTCCTTTCTTTTTTTTTAAGCGGAGAAAATCATTGAAGGGCTTCTTCCGCCTGGTTGTGGCGGGAGGGAGTGTCAGACTCTTACTGACTAAAAACCACCCCGTTCCTTCTCCTGCACTTCGAGCCCGAGCCCCTATAACCCGTTAGGTTCTCCGCGACTCTAAAGCGACTTATGTCTACTGCGACGTTGATGTTGTCAGGCATGTCGACTAAAGTGCGGCAACGTCGCACTACTTCACCTAACGTCAATGGTGACACGTGTTGCAAGACATTTGTCCCTTAGTGTATCCTTGGCTTCACCGTACTTTACCGTAGGAAACGTGGGCGAGGGATCAGGCGGAGAGACGGACGACCGGGGCGTAGCTCCAACCAGCCCACCGTCCTGCTGCGGAGACGTCCGCGGGGGCTCTGCACAAACATGATACTAGCATTAGTCGATAATACTATTGTGTAATTTTACTTAATATTATAAGGTCTGAAGTCACACACAGAAATTATACACCCTGGTTACACAAGTCGTGGTTGAAAAGTTTTCAAAATGATTATGTGTATGTGAAATTGTATGTAATGAACCCATAACACAGGAGAGAATTTTAGTGTGGAGTAAAGTTTAAAAAAATATGAGTGAGTCTGAAGGAACACATAGTCCATCATAGTCCAACCCTCAGTACCACGAGTGACGTTGGGAGCAAAAGTGTTATACGTATTACATAGTTTCAAATGTAACATCCACTTTACTCTAGTTATGTATGTCATAAGTCCCATGTAATAATTGAGTGTTTTTTTAAGGAGGGAAAATTATCTAATGTATTAAATTGCCCAGGTAAGGCGAGAGGGAATGTCAGACTCCTGCACTTCGAGCCGGAACCCCGGCAACCTGTTAAGTCCTCCGCTGCTCGGCATCAGCCCTATTAGGTCCCATATGTGGTTAATTGAGAGTATAGCCATTATAATAACTCGGTTGTGCTCACTTTGCTATAAATCAAGCACCTTTCCAGACACCCTGTTCATACTTGAAAATTATAAACTCAATATTTTGTCCACTCATGATTAGAAACTGAGACTCCTTGCTCGACAGTCGCACTCGCTGTCACTCGATCGACTAGGCAGTATGTTAATAGATAATACTATAGTTTTACGAAAGCAATGTTTGCTACCGAAAGCAAGGGGTATCTAAATTAATATTCGCTTGGTTGGATCCAGAAATGAAACGGACGCTGCCGTGGGATTGAGTTTGCTTTGTAGCAAAGTGTACGGTTCGACAAATAGTGTTATGTTACTACGTTCTTTGAATTTATTTTTAAGTGTGTCATGTGAGTGAGATTCCCGGAGGCCCAATCCTTCTCCTTCCCTAATCTCCCCAATTCCTGAATCCCCAACGATCCTCAAACTCCTATTCCCCAAAAGGCCGGTAACGCACTTGTAACGCCTCCGGTGTTCCAGGCGTCCATGGGCGACGTCGATTGCTTACCATCAGGTGATCCGTCTGTTCGTTTACCGGCTTACCATAAAAAAGTGACCAAGAGCTTCCAGGTCCGATAGTATTTGTTAGTAGTGAATAATGGGAGTCCCATCACGTAAAACATCTATACAGATAAATAAAATTGAAGTGTCTGTCTATAATATTGAAATAACCGCTTTTCACTACATGCATATAAACATAAATATGATACATAAACTAATTTGACTGCTCGTTTGGTATGGTAGCTGAGCAACCGGCTGCCGCACAACGTGTAGCTGGTTCGATTCCCGCACGGAGATACTCTTTGTGTGATCCACCAATTCTTGTTTCGGGTCCAGATGTCATATGTATATGAATTTGTTGTTGAATGTTTGTAAACGCACCCACGATAGAGGAGTTTATTCTAGTGCGGGACAATGTTTAAAAAAACACTCTTTACAATTTTTGTCTGTCTGTCCGCCTGTCTGTTTATGTTAGCTAATCTCTGGAATGACTGGACCGATTTTGACGGCACGTTTATTGGCAGGTAGCTAATGTACTAAGAGTAACATAGGCTACAGTTAGAGAAGCCTACGGTACGTACTATTCTGATCACAACTTGTGAGCTCAAAATTTCAAAATACATAAGATAACGCCTCGCCTTCTATCCCCGAAGGGGTAGGCAGAGGTGCACATTATGCCACTGTACAATGTAACACAAACTTTTCACTATTTATGTTATGAGCCCCATGTAATAGGGGGTGAGCCTATTTACATATACCGAACACAATTCCAGACTCCGAGCACGCATTTCAAAATAGATTATTAAAATTAAACTGTCAAACACCAAGCGGTCACCGGTGACCGCAACCTATTGTTCTATAATTGTGTCTACAAAACCGGTACTCGACGAGTTAATAATTTCGTAGTTATGCACATATATTATGTATATTATTATGATCATATCACATTCATATCAAACCCGAATATTCATATTCATTGGATTCTACAATAATATTACTCATTCAATCAAGCTTATAAAAATAGTGTGTGAAATCTGCAAATGGGATGATGTTATTTTAAATTGAACGCTGATGTAATAAACACAGGCTTTAAAATTAATTGATATGCGCATGTGTGTTTTGTTTCAATTGCGAATCATTTCTTTTTTAATTTGTATTAATATATTTATTTTTTTATTTATTTAAGACTTAGTACAATAACAAATGTACAGATGGACTTAATGCCTTGGGTATTGTCTCACAGTCGACCACAGTTGGTGCAGAGGTGAAAGTGGCAGGTGACTAAGCAAATATTAATAATAAATAACTATATATAAATACTTATATATATACAGGCTATAAACGGAACTCTCCCGAAAAACGCTGACAAAAATAATAGTTTTTTTTATTTTAATCGTTGTTTTTTACATGTTATTCATACGACGTCAGTCTTGAGCAGTTAATTACAACAATTATTCCATAAAGGAAACATTTAATTCCTTACTTTCATGAAATAAAACTTGTTTTTGAGCATACCTCTAATTTGTCGGCGTTTTTCGGAAACGTTCCGTTTACACCCTGTATGTACACATACATCCAATACTTATATCATATAATAGTACTATACACATACTGAAGAAGACAGAGGGTCGGCTTGCGAGGGATTTGGAGAAACAACACAATACCACTTTTACTTTCACTTTTTATTCTCTTCCTTTATATATCTTTTCCCGCTAGAGGCGCTGGTTGTACTCGCTAACGTCAGGTTTGACGAGCAACCTAACCAAATTGATGTAACGAAATCATAGCGCGATCTATCTCGATGTTAAAACCCTCTATCGAGCGACGTGACAACTCTGACTATTAATAATTTTATTACAATTAAATCTTGATCGCGCTATGATCCCGTTACCGCTCCGAACACATACATACTCAAGTAAAAACTAAATAACACATTAAGAGACAACGTATGTTTGAATCAAATCTGCCAGTTCTTTTTGTAAATGTTCGCGAACCTTGGTTTTCAAAGATAAGCGATTGGTGGCCATCCTGATCTCCGTGGGTAGCGCATTCCATAGAATCACAAATTGTATGAAATATGTATGAATAATATAGAGCTATGTTTTATTTTGGTATTTGGTTGGAAAGAAACTTATGTACGTCACTTATAGAGATAGAGAGGTACTGAATAAAATCTCATTCATCTTATTAGGTACAGTACTTAATGGTAGAAAAGAGTAGAGTATTTACTGAATTAACAACCGAATAGAAGGCTATTCAATTTTAAGTTGTATTTAACCCGTCGTGTGTCTGAACGGGGATCCAAGTGAGACACAATGTATTTTCTATTTTGTCTCATATACGGGTATTCAAGCGGTTAAATATCGTGCCATTTCTATCATTTTATCAAAGAATTTGTAGCAACAGAACTACACTTAAGCGCGACTTAATATTGTTGGCGTTTGAGTATTTCAGTGTAAAACTACCAAGCTCTGTTATTATTATTATTATTTGTCCATGTTTTGCTCAAGGTTTAATAAAATAAGAAAAAGCAACAAAGTAATCTGCGAACCACACAAAATAATAGTTCTTAATTCAAGTAAGAACCTTCATCGCGTTAACAAAGGATAAAAAAAATACTTCGTTCTGTATATTACTTTGTAATAGAAATATTACAATGAAAACCGTAGAAATACAAAACGATTTGTGTGGTTAACTCAAGCAATCCTTTCAATCTGTGACGTTTGATTGTGAAATAGAAATCATAAAGTAAAAATATTCTACGTTTTATAACGATGGTATTGCTGCTATGTTCAAATAAAATGTCGTCTGCAAGTTGTACATAATCTGAATGAAAGAATAAAACTGTTTTTCCCAAAAATGTGTGGTATCGTTTCGGTAATTTCATTTTATTTTGTCGTGAAATCTTCTGGTCACTCAGATTTTAATATACACTTTTCGTTGACTATGTTATGCAAGTCTCATTTTAACAGGAATCGCAAAAACAATAGTTATGCAACCGGCATATCGGATTCTATTAAAATTTGTATGAATAAAGTCTTTGCTACTGTTCATTTGCATCGCTGTATTTTGATAAGTACCGAAAATAAACTGTTTACAAATCTCTATGTGTCGGTCTTTAAAATAATATTACCATTCTAACTAGGAAATAACCATAAACCCCACAGAAATGAATTCGTATTTCCGATGATACGCAACGCTACTCCAGTAAGACCTAGTAAACTAAATGTCGAATCCAATTTTAGAAATCGGTCAAAGCACTCTCCTGTGTACTTTGTACTCGGCGGGAATATTCTGTTTGCACGGCGCTCGTCGACAAGAAATTAACTTTGTCAAGGCTCTGAAATACTGTGATATACGTATAAGGGAAGTGAATATTTTTTGCTATGAAATGTTGTGTAATAACATATCGTCGAGAGTTCCGGGGTAGCGTAATGTAGAGAAGCTAAATATGTATTTTTATTATTGCTGATGTTTTATAGTTTTCAGGAGGAATTATCTATTTACTCATACGGTAGACAAAACGGCCTGATAAAGGCTAAAGAGAGTCATTGGATGCTGGATGATTCTGATTAGTCTTGCAGGCAATTCATTGCAGTTCAATAGCTGACATCTTACGTATGATATTGAAATTGTGGTGTCTCTTCCACTAGTCTTTCACGCTGGTAACTTTGAAATTATAACCCATTTTATCCAAACTGCAAAAAAGTAGACAGAATCAGATTTTTGTTCAGTTAAGATTATGACTTTTTTAGATGGAAAAATCATCCAATGACTTTTCTCGCCCGGGTGAGAAGAGGGAGTGTCAGACTCTTACTGACTAAAAACAACCCCGTTCCTACTCCTGCACTTCGGGCCGGAGCCCCCACAACCCATTAAGTCTTCCGTGGCTCCGTATCGGCATCAGCCCTGTTGGGCCCCATCTGTGGTGGTTTGACGGCTCC